GGCACTGGGTTCGATCCTCAGCACCACATAAAAATAAATAAACAAAATAAAGATATTGTGTCCATGTATAACTAAAACCAACAAACAAAACCCTATAGTCATAGCTGGGCATGGTTGTTCCTGCCTGTAATCCAGATGCCTGGGTGCTGAGACAGGAGGATTGTGAATTCAAAGCCAGCCTCAGCAATTTAGCTAGGCCGTAAGCAATTTATAAAGATCCTTGTTCAAAATAAAAAGGTCTGGGGATGTAACTCAGGGGTAAGTGCCCCTGGGTTCAATCCCCAGTACCATTAAAAAAAAGAAAAAAGAAAAAAAAAACCTAAATAAACAAAAAATCAACCAGGCAAACAAAACAAAAAACCCCTGTAGTTAGATATTTGAAAATAAACATTATTAGTATGAGCTCACTATAAAGAAGTACTTTCTAGGAGTATCCCCAAAATAAGCCTAGAGATAATGACCAGGTAAGTAGAAATGAATGCCTCTGGCACCTTGATTTTGGACTCTATGATTTCCCACTAGCACAATCTAATGCTCCTATAAAAATAGTTGATATTAGCTGCGTGGAACAGAGAGTGCACAAGATAGACTAGAAGATACTTGCATAATCCAATGAAGCTATTAAAGGCTTCTGGGTTTAATACAATTCTGTATCCAACTGGAAGTGAGTCTTTGAGCAATTTGTGCCTCAACAGAAAACTGATTATTTTAGGACACCTCAGGGTAAGTTTTTATGAAACAAAAAGTTAATAGTTCATGATGCTACACAGAATATATTGGATTCTCTTTTTTTTCCTGGAAATAAATGTTTTAATTTTTGTTTCATTTTTATGATAATAACTTTCAAGTTTACTTCCATTTTTGTTTGTTTACTTAAATATAAGCTAAACCACAATCAGGTACAACCAAGACATTTTATCTCACATTTAAATACTTCTGTTAGATCCTACTCCAATTTGCTGACCACTGACCAGGCTAGTGGGATGTGGGGAAGACCTTCTTAGGTAGCACTGTTTAGTCCATGGCACTGGGGCTCCTGTCCACGTTTAGTCCATGGCACCTAGCTCCAGGTAAATGTGAACAGAGACAGTTGTGAGAACCTGTCCTCATCCTATGTTGGCCTCCTTGTAGATATGTTAAAGATGAGATCCATGTTTTATCAGCAAAAGAAAAAAAGGAAGTAATCAAGTATTTATGTGTTTATTCTCCTTTTATAACAAACACTAAGGAGAGCTTTCTCTTTAACACCTATAAATGAGGAGAAACATATAATTTAATTATTGCCATTTTATGAAATGTAATAAAGCATAAAAGTGGTGGTTTGGAGTCCCACTAAGGTCATTAGATGAAAAACTAAACATTCTCCTGGGAATATCACACTGAAAACATCTGCTCCTGCTGACTAAGTTTACTATCAGGAGGAAAAAGACAACTAGACACTATGTGCCTCCTAAAGAAAATACAGCACACTGGCTATGCAGGGTTCTTGCCCCAAACCCAATCCTTCATCTGATCAAGCTTGGGAGCTAAATAGCAGTTAGAAAAACCAGAGTAACCATGTATATTAAAAGACACCATGGTGATCTAAAACCAAAATCAAAAGTATAAAAACTTATGCTGGGCATGGTGGTCCATGCCTGTACACCTACGACTTGGGAGCCTGAGGCAGGGGTATCACAAGTTCAAGGACAGGCTCACCAACTTAGCATTTCCCTCAGCATCTTAGTGAGACCCTACCTCAAAATAAAAAATAAAAAGGGTTGTGAATGTAGCCCCTTGGTTTAATCTCCAGTACTACAAAAACAAAAATTTTTATATCTTACAACACTCAGTAACCTGAAAAATAAAATCAATAAATAATAAGGGGAAAAAAGTACACAGAGGGAACACAAAGATTAAAAATTACTCTTTCTTCCCCGCCCCCTCCTCCTCCTCCCTTTTTCTTTCTTGTGCATGAGACCACATTTAATGCAACATACAACAATGGCTTGGTGTTGACCACCTCCTCATAACCCAAGAAAATATATTCACTCTCTAGGAAGAATTTTCACTTGGTATTCAGTTAGAAATATTGTAGCAGGCTTATCACCATGGCCAACTGGAGTAGGTTGTATGGTTAAAGAAGAGCCCTTAAGTAAGGACCAACAGAGTACAATGGAGAGTGTAAGAGGTTCATGTGGCAGGTCAAGGGACCAGACCAGACTAAAATTATAAGGTCAAACACAAGGAGGTTGGAAAAGAGACGTGTGGGGGATTGATGGGAGACACAAAGTCATTGTGAAGCTCCTGGTCTCACAAAGTTGTGCCAACCAGGAGTCATCCACTGCACAAGTGGCACAATACAACCAGGTGGTTAGGATGAGTTGGGCAGTAGATGTTTTATAGCCTGTAGGTTTGGCTAACTAAGTGTGTTGACAATGTGTCCAAATCATATAGCTGTGATGGCAGAAATGGGGATTAGGTGATAGCTCCCATAACATTGTAACATGACTTTTTCTTACCAACTATGACTGAGCACCTGATGTTACTGAATCTCTGCTGAATCTACTACAGATGCTGACCTTCAGTCCTTGATGACAGAATTGTCATATAGTACTTCAAACAGCCATAAAAAGATGATGACAATGGTTTTCTTTCTCCTTAGGAAGCAGATTCAGTTGTGAGACCTGCTCATCTCTCATGGCCCTATAACTGCAGAGAGAAGCTACAGTGAGGAGGATGTTAATCTGCCAGAGTGGCTTATTGTGAAGAGCAGCAACAGAGAATGGGAGAGCAGTGTCTGAGATTGGGGTCTCTGATGACCTCATGGCTGTGGCATGCTTGGTGCCTGGGAAAGTTTCTCTGCAAAGCTGCAGGATGCCTAGCTGCTTGGTAATGCCCTCCATGGGAGGCTCTGTGCTAGAGTCTATTCATCTTTGACCTTGATCTCAGGCACCCTGCTCCTGGGAATACAGGAACTCTCTTGCTAGACAACCACAATGTTTCACCAGCTCCATTAGCCCTGAGCCTGCCTGCCTAACAGTAACTTTAAACAATGGACTTCCTTGGGAGATACACAAAGCTCCTAACATCACAAACTGCAACTGTAAATGTAACTGTGGAATAAGCTGCATAATGTTGCTAACTCTGTAACTTTCATGAATACAAAGAATAATGCTTACATAGTCTTTAATGGGATAATGAGACATATAAAAATAAAGATTGCTGGTGAAATTCTTTAGCTTTGCTTCTCCACCAGAGAGTAGTGCTCCACCTGCCCCCAGCTGTTATCTTCAAAATCTACTTCCCTGAGTCTTTAATTTTCTTATCCCCCTTTGCCCCTTGCTGGAACCTGCTAGATTGGCAGTGCTGGTTGCGCCAGCTTATCAGTTTAGCACGTGGAATGTTTGGAGGCCATCAGGTGAAGGTTTATGTGTAACTCTTAAGAATTTCTTCCCAGACAGGTTACTAGCACAAATATGACAGTAAAACAGGTAGATGAAGAAAAGAACTGCAGGTTTTGACAGAAACATTGAAGAGGCTGTCTTAGGTCTCTGAGACAAAGAGCAGCATCAATGTGTGAAGTCTCCTACCTCTTGTCTGACTGACCACATTGGTGGTCAACACAATCCTCATTCTTCTAGTGAAGTTAGAATGAGCTGGGAAAGAGAATTATATTTAACTGTTAAAAACTGGATCTGAGAGTGGCCAATAGAAGAAATAAAAATGTCTCTTTCTAAATAGCCCAGATAATAAAGATATGGTATATACACTCAATGGAATATTACTCAGTTTTAAAGAAGAGTGAAATTATGGCATTTGCCAGTAAATGGTTGGTGTTAGAGAATATCATGCTAAGCAAAATAAGCCAATCCCACAAAACCAAAGGCCAAATGTTTTCTCTAATATGCAGATGCTAATTCAAAACAAGGCAGGGGGCAGGAGGGAAGAATAACATTACCTTAGATTAGGTAGAGGGAAGTGATGGGAGGGGAGGGGAGGGTATGTGGGGATAGGAAAGAAAGTAGAATGAAAGAGACATTATTACTGCATGTATATATGTGACTGCATGATCAATATGATTCTACAACAGGTACACCCAGAAAAATGAGAAATTATATTCCATCTATGTATGATATATCAAAGTGCATAAATGCATTCTACTGTCATGTATAACTAATTAAAAAACAAATTGGGGCTGGGGATGTGGCTCAAGCAGTAGCATGCTTGCCTGGCATGCATGCGGCCCGGGTTTGATCCTCAACACCACATACAAACAAAGATGTTGTGTCCGACGAGAACTAATAAATAAATAAATATTTTTAAAAAAATTTAAAATTTAAAAAATTTTTTAAATTAAAAATAAAATAGCCCTGATCAAAAGTTGCTTCTACAACACCATGATTTCAAGTAGCAAGAGATACACATTGGAAAGCAGCTGATTCTGTGGGTTCTATGGCCTATTACCTCAGTTTGTATCATATGCACCACTGCTTGGTCTTCCACAAATCACTCTCCTATGGAACACCGTGTTTCAGTTTTTAAAGTCAATCATCTTCAAGTCCCACCACATCACCACTATACCACAACTCTTGTGGCCTTGGGGCTCTGCCTGGGTGTGCAGAGGTGCCTACTGTATATGTTGACTATGAAATGATCTCTCACTGTGATTTTATTGAATTCTGTATGGGAAGAACACATATTTAAATTCATTTTCAAGAGTCCACACACAGCTCGGTCCAGTGAGTTAGGCACTTAGCATGCTCTGCATAAAAATTTTTGATGGTGAGATTACCATTCAAGTTTTTTATACTTGAGGCTAATCAAAGGGAAAAAGAACTGGGGGAGGAATGAGAAAAAAATAGATCATAGAAGAGAGACTTGGAGACCTGGAGTATTGCCATTGAGGGAAGGACTTAGATTGAGATCTTCTTTCAGCCTCTCTTACACCCACTGGTTAATGTTCTTTTCAGAGTGCATTATAAAATGACTGGGGGCTGGTCTTAGCAGTCAGTGCTCCACCATCATCCAACAGAAGTGCTCTGTGGACTCTAACACAGCCAGTTTCAAGACAGCCAAGACAAAATGAAAAACCTGCTGAAGCTGGGACACTCTCTGCTCTGCATAGAAATTGGTAAATTCTTGGGTGGTAGTTTGACCATGGTTAAGGTATCGGCCTGGGCTTAACCCTAGTATATGCTTAAAATGTGCCTCATTTTCTCCATTCTTTTGGACTTCTGAGGAATATAGTTGAGTTTACAACACAGAGAGGCTCCATCTCTGGCCACCTGACTTATTTCATCTTCTTACTTTTCAGGGTCCTTCCCTCATCCTGTCCACCACCAAAGACTTCACATGATCTCTGTACTTTAAATACTACCTAAATAAGTGTTTCACTTATTAAATAAGTGTAATCACTGTGGTGAGCTAGAAATGAACCATGAGCAGTGTAGTTCGGTTGAGAGTGATCTGACTCCCTGCATGACAGTCAGTTGCTGTTTTGACTACTATGGGTATATATTAGATCATCTCCCTATTTTCTCCAGCTTAGTCTGTGGTAATAAAGATGTGTTACCTGGAACATATCCCTAAGGGAAAACCCAAGCTCTCAGGTAGTTTGCATGACCTCTGGTCTCTTGGGGAAAGTGATAATGATTCAGCCATAGCTCTCCATTGTCACAATGTCATAACTACAAAGCAAATGTCTGTGAGCATGAGTTTTTGGGTCATGCAAAGCTAAAGACAGTGAACCTTATATGATCCAGAGAATTTAGATTTCTCCATACACTTGTAAGTGTGGTCAGTAATCTAGTGAAAGCTGTGGACATTTTCTTTCTCCTTCAGGACACCCTCCTTTCAGACATGACATCCATATGAAGAGAATCAATTCAGGTCCAGGTATGAAGCTCTGAGACTTGTGATGGTGTCTTATCTCCTATAGAATGATAAAATTCAGAAGAGACTGAGTGGAGTATGGCTGTTCCCCAACATTCTATTTACCCATTTCTGACATATCTGAGATCTATCTTCCCTGCTGTTCAGGATCCAAAGGCTTGAAATCTTTGGATCTCTGGTCATTTCCCAACTCCACTAGATGGCCACTGCTCTTCTTGTGTAATCTTGATCTTGTCTCAGTTTTGAGTCCCCTGCTCTGGAAGCCTTTTCTGACCCTTCTCTTTTTGCTCATGACTCCCACTGTTTTTCCACAGTCTCCCTGGCATGTCTACTTCATAACATCAATCATGGCGGTGCATTTTAGTTACCTGTCATTCCCTGCTACCTGGTAGTTAAATGGTTCACTACTCTACCTTAGTGCTTACCTCAGATCCTAGAATCTAGCTTATTTTCAGACAATGCTTTGTGCCTGTCTGCCTGAGAGAGAAGGGCTTCTGTGTGCTTCAGTATCTAAAATGTGAAGCTCACCACCAAGCGCATATTTCCCTTGCAGGAAACACTCTGGGAAAAGGACCTTTTTATATGTGTCTTAGGACCACGTGGGAAGAGCCCCATAGTTAGTATAGAAGAAATATCCTTTCATTTAATACATTCTTGGTTCACCCATACTTGTGTTTGAGGCTTGTGTCCTGGACATCAAAATGACCTTTGGTTTCTGCTCTTCTTTTCTGCAGATTTTGATCCAATGTATGCACAGTCCCAAATGTGGGTATTGTGAAGAGGCCGTGGAAATTATTGGTGTTCAAACAATGCAGACATCATGCTGTCATCATTTTGAATTTTTCCATGACACCTGTAAGCCAATTCTCTAAACTTAGATCCCTGGGTCTGAGGGGGTCTTCAGATTGTCCCATATTTTCTTCCTCCTCTCCTCATCTGATTTCTATTCCTGTCTCAGATTCCATTTCTAGTCTGGACTAAAGGCTTCTCTGCATCAGAAATGAAGGTTTCACGGAAGCTGGAGGCAGAAGCTTCCTTGGTTGTATGATCGTCTAAGTGATCCTACAACCCATTTCCTATACTTGTTATTTTCCTCCAGATCAGCAAAGGAATAACTCTCTTAGGTTTCAAACAATATATTTATTACCTGAAAAGTGATAGTGGCATGGCTGAATAGGCAAAATACTATAGAATGTGAGAAGGGGGAGGACAACTAATGAACAGGATAACTAGACTTTTTACACATGTGCCTATATACTTAGGCATATTATAGGTATGGGCTAGAAGGAGACAGATGGGAAGTATATATGAGAAATGAACCATAGAGAGAGCCAAGAATACGAGCCAGCTTATTGAAGTGGGACCAGATCCTGGAAGACTTGGTAATTTTTGTTTACTTCAATTTCTGTTCTGATTTCGCATACAATTGTGAGATAGTTCTCACTATAGGTCTTCAAAGGCTTTATGAGGTATCTCCCAAAACCCTAAAATGATCCACACCTGAATGTGTCAGACTTGTATTGAAGCATCATGTTTGATTAATAATAATTGTGGTGATTTTGAAAGGAAAGAGGTTTTTCTAATTATGAGGATGGTCTAAAAAATGAGGGTCAATATTGAGTGTGATGATATTCTATTGCTCATAATTTCCCCAATTATGAAAGTTGCTTGGTTAATTGGTATTTTCTTCTGTAAAAGTGATAGGATAGCCCTAAGGTTGTAGTTTCCCTGAACACCTAGTATTTGCTTCTGTAAGATGTTTTCCCTTTCTCCTCCATGAAAGATGCTATGTGATGCAAGGGAGATGGTTTTGTTTTTGAATCTAGAGTATCCCCCAAAATGTCATGTGTTGAAGGCTTGGTCCCCAGAGCAGCAATATTCAGAGCAGGGTCTTTTGAAAGGTGATTGAATCTGGAGGGCTCTGACCTCAACAGCGTATTAGTCCATTGCTTCTTAGGCTCATATCTGAAAAAGTCAACTTTAACCCAAAATTAATCACAAGAGACAAAAGTGGTCATTCCAGATTGGCAAGAGGAACAAGCCAAAAGAAGATACAATGTTAATAAATATTTATGCATTAAATCTTGGTGTCCCTAATCACATAAAACAAACTACTCAACATAAAGCCTTGGATACATCTCAAAACAATACTACTAGGTGATTTCAACACATCTTTATCACTTAAAGATAGGTCATCCAGACATAAAATTAGCAAGGAATTTTTAGACCTGAAGAATTATTGTAAATCAAATGTACCTAACAGACATTTATAAAATACTTCCTTTTACAACAACTGATGTCACTTTCTTCTCATCTGCTCATGGAACCTTTTCCAGAATAGACCACATTTTAGATCACAAAGCATGTCTTAGAGAATACAAAAAAAAGGAAATGTAATTATTGCATTATATAAGTTCATAATGGAATGAAATGAGAAATCAACCACACTATACAAACTATATAACACATGGGAATTGAACAATACATTGACTGATGCTGGATCAACTTTATATACAATTCATAAAATATAAAATTCATACATAAATATACAATTATATACAATTCATAAAATAATCTGAAAATTATAGACCAATATTCTTGATTAACATAGATACAAAAATCCTTAATAAAAAAGTGAGTGAATTTTTAAAAAATTCCTAGAATCAAACTATAATAGAGGTACAAAATATCCAAATTTCTGGGGCACTCTGAAGGCAGATCTAAAAAGAAAGTTTTTAGTGGTAAGTTCCTACATAAAATAATCTGAAAGATTCCAAATAAAAAACCTGTAATACATCTCAAAGTCCTGGAAACAAGAACAAACCAATTTTAAAACCAGTAGAAAAAGGAAATAATTAAAATCAGAGATGAAATTAATAAAATACATAGTAACTAAACAATTCAAAGAGTCAATGCAAGAAAGAGTTAGTTCTTTGAAAAGATAGGCAAGATTGATAAACTCTTAGAAAAACTAACCAAAAGAGAGAGCAGAATCAAATAATAATATTAGAGACAAAAATGAATGCATTAAAACAGACACCACTGCAATCCATAAGATCATGTGAGACTATTTTGAAAACTTATATTTCAACAAATTAGAAACTCTAGAAGTAATAGACAATTTTAGACTCCTATGATATACATAAATTAGATCGAGAGGATATAGAAAACCTAAAAAGATAAATAATAAGCAGTGATATTGAAACTGTAATAAAAAATCTCACCCAAAAGAAAAACCCTGGTGCAGATTAATTCACAGCTGAATTCTGTCAGAACTTTAAAGAGCCAAAGCTAATGCTCTTCAAACTAATTCATGAAATAAAGAGGGAACACTTCAAAACTCATTATAGAAACCCAGTATAAGACTGATATCAAAATCAGATAGGACAGTTTAGGAAAGAAAATTATAGACCAATATTCTTGATGAACATAGATACAAAAATCCTTAATAAAATATTAGCAAATTGAATTCAACAACATATTAAGAAAATTGTATAGGGCTGGGGCTGGGGCTCAGCTGTAGCACACTTGCCTGGCATGTGTAAGGCACTGGGTTCAATTCTCAGCACCACATATAAATAAAAATAAAATAAAGGTCTATCAACAACTAAAAAAACATTTAAAAAAATAAAATTGAATATAAAGTTGATTTCATTCCAGGATGAAAAAAATGGTTAACATATACAAATCAATAAACATAATATGTCAAATAAATAGAATCAAGAAAAAAAATTTACATGATCATCTCAATAGATGCTGAAAAATCTTTTGGCAAAATTTGGCACCTAATCATGATAAATACTCTGAAGAAACTAGGGGTAAAAGAACTTACTCTAACATCACAAAGGCTATATATGACAAACTCAAATTCAACATCACACAGAATGTGGAAAAGTTGGAAGCATTTCCTCTGGTCAGGAAGAGACCTGTGATGTTTCCATGTATGTACACAGTGTGATCAAATCCAACAGACTTCATCCACATCCAGCCCCACTTCTACCCCTTCATTGCATTTTTTCCCAATCCCTAGTAATCATTATTTTTCTTCAGGTGTCTAGTTTCAGTTTTCACATGTGAGACAGAACATGCACTATTTGTCTTTCTGTGTCTCATCTATTTCACTTAACATAGTGTCTTACAGTTCTATTCATTTTGCTGCAAATGAAAGGATTTCATTGTCCTTTGTGGCTGAATAATACTCCATTCATGCTTATGGGCACCTACACTGATTTCATTTCTGAGCTACTGTGAATAGTGCTCCAATAACCAGGGCATGCAGGTACCTGTTTGGTATGCTGATTTCACTTCCTTCTGATAATCACCCCCAAGTGGGATATCTAGATCATATGGCAACTCTATAGGTTTTTAAGGAACCTGCATTCTGTTCTTCTTAACAGCTGTAACAATTTACATTCTCTCCAACAGCATATAAGAGTTCCCTTTTCTCCCCATCCTTGCCATCACTCAGGATATTTTGTTTCATCTTCTTAAAATATTTTTTTCTTGGGGCTGGGGATGTGGCTCAAGTAGTAGTGCACTTGCGTGGCATGCGCTGGGCGCTGGGTTCGATCCTAGGCACCACATAAAAATAAAATAAAGATGTTGTGTCCACCAAAAACTAAAAAATAAATATTAAAAAATTCTCTCTCTCTCTCTCTCTCTCTCTTTAAAAAAAATTTTTTTTTCTAGAGTTCACATGCTGCCTACCCTAGGGGTTAGACACCTAGTGTACTGTGTATAAAAATTAATGAGGCAAGAAAGGTTTTTGATCATCAATGTTGCAGCAATCTAGAGAAAGGAACAGTGAGAGAAGAGATGAGTCATGGAAGACATATCTGGAATATTGCTATTATTAGAAGAGCTCAGATTAGGATCTGCCTCTGGCATCAGTAATACCCACTAGGTATTACTTAGAGACCATTATAAAAGGAATAGGGGGCTGATGTAGCAGTCAGTGCTGCACCATCATCCTGCTGAAGTGCTCCCTTGTCTCGAACATATCCTGTTTCAAGATCAGTCAAGACAAAATGGAAAACCTCCTGAAGTTATGTCTCTTTCTGCTCTGCATGGAAATTGGTAAATCCTAGAGTGGAGGATTGATGATGGTTAAGGTATCAGCTTAGGCTTTACCCTGGTATATATTTAGGCAGGGCCTGGTTTTCCACATTCCCTTGGATTCTGTCAGCTCTAACTTGGTTTCTATGGAATAAGGTTTAGTTTTACATATAGATAGATAGGCTCCACCTGAGTGCTTCCATCTTCTGACTTCCCTGGATTCTTCCCTTCTCCAGTCATCCCCTGGAGATCCCACATGTCTTCTAGCTTTATATACTCCCCAAACTTGTTTTATCTATGAAGTAAGGAATTAGGGACTCCTTGTCATTCTGAAGGCTGCATCCAGATCACAACACTGGACCTTTAGGCCAAGATAACCCAGCAGGTGCTCTGTGCTTTCCGTTCTGTATGCAATCACTGTGATAGGCTAGAATATAAACCATGAATAGTATAGTCAGTTATCCCTGCCTCCAAGTCGTATGATTCCTTGTCCTCCATAGGCAAGATTAAATCATCTCCCTATTTCTTCCTGCTCAGCCTGTAATATTAAGATGTGCTACTGCCTGGAGCATATCTCTGAGCGTGGCCCTCAGTGAAGTCAAGCCCTCGGGGAATTTGGATGATGATCTCTGCTCCATTTGAGAAGTAACATTGACGCTTCCTTTCTCCTTTAGCACAGTATTTCTTCTTTTCAGCTGTGGCTCTCGAATGTTTACAGTGCAGTGGCTACAAAAATGGAATCTGTGAACATAAGATAAAACAATGCATAGCTA